CGGCAAACGAAGCGGATCCATGTACCACACAGTTGGTTTTCTTCGATAGAATATCTGAAAATTTTACTTGAAAATACCGAACAGTGCAGTAATTGCTTGTGACGGTGGACCTCGTGCGTTCTTGCCAACCCAGATCACAACTCTATGAAAGACAGTTGGAGCTTCAGCTCAAGAATAGGCATCATCTACCCCTGTAAGACTACTACTCAGAATTGGTACCCATGTGTAGGACCATAGAGGATTTCCTGATCTAATCTAATATGTAACCCTTGTGGCAACATTTTTCTCAGGTTCTTCATCATGCCCAACTCAGCAGTGCCCTTGTGAGTCTGCAGCCCAACAATGGTGACCATTATAATCAGCGACGATCCATATGTCATATTGCCTTTCGTCACATATTGGAAGACCATTTGGTGTCTGTATATGTGATAGAGTGCATGCATATATATGCCATATATGTGTACTCCAAACGATTGTACTATGTTTTAGTTACGGGCTACAAATTCCTTGGCATATTGCCTTGACCATGGAATTCGTAGTCCCTGGGACATCATTTCAGTCAATATAAGATTTCCACCCTTAATTGTTTGCTTGCCCACCACTAATCTATAGTTCTATCTATTACCAGGACTATTATGTTATTGGTATTAGGTTCATTTTTAGAAAACCTCAATAGGTCATTATGGTACACCATGATGAGACAACATGTGGTTACGGGCACTTTTTTTTTACGGGCGCAGCGGAGCGCGCCTTTCGTCCTAGTAATAATGATGATGCCAAGGTGCTTGTTGGAAACATACATAAATTCGGGTACAAGTTCTCAAAGTTCTGTTAAAAAAAAGACAGGTCATCGTTGCAACTTGCAATATCTTGTACCAGTTTTTTTTTTAGAAGTGCCGCCTTAGGTAGTACAAGATATTCTATTATGAGCTAATAAAGGGTGGCACTTCCTAAAAAAAAGAATGCAACTATGGGGTACATACCACGAAAAATGGTTCACGTTTGACCAAGTTTTTAGTGAATAATATCACATTTATGGCTTTAAATTAATTTATTATGAAAATACATTTCGTAATTAATCTGATGATAATTATTTGGTATCATAAACATGAATAATTTTTTATCTATAATTACTCAAACTTAATGTACTAAAACGTGACACTGTGCTAGAATTGTATTCTTTTAGGGACGGATGTAGTACCAATTGAGTATGGCGGTATCTATTCCATTTTAGGTTTTGCATGTAGTACTGCCACCGTTCCAGCAACAGTACAGAAGCAACAAAATTGAAAAAGAAAAGAGAAAATTAGTTTCTTGGCCTAAAGAAAGTTGTGCTTAGTTTTTTTTGGCCTTTTTTTCCCTTTAAACTTAAAATGAATTTTGTTTAGTTTCTCGGTCCTTCTATTAGTTTGATGGTCTAACGGTGTTAACTTATACGCGAAATGACTCTTTTACCCCTTGCACCAAAGGCAACAATCCTCTACTTATACGCGAAATAACTTGTACGAGAAAATTAATTTTATATATATTTGCACATGACTCTACTATAGGCAGCCTGCTGAAATATTTTTTTTCAAGTATGAAATCATTATATTTGCACAATATATATAAAAATAATGATTCTTTGCTTGAAAAAATATTATACCTTATTTTCGGAAATTATTGATAGTAGGCAGCCTCAAAGGTCTGTATATCTCTATTGTAGGCTGCTGGACTGTTGCCTTCGGCGCTAGAAGTAAAAGAGTTATTTCGCGTACAAATTAGCACTGTTAGACCATCAAACTAACAGAAGGGCCAAGAAATTAAACGAAATTCGTTTTATGGCCAAATAGGCAAGTTCAAAATAAAAAAGGGCTAAGAAACTAAGCACAATTTTTTTTAGGCCAAGAAACTATTTTTCTCAAAAAAAGAAAGAAAGAGAACCCATCTTACGCCCAGACCACCAGAGCTCCGCACGTCACTGGATGATAGCCCACAGCGCTACATCCCAAACGTGCAGCCTGAGCCCACGTGCTTGCATGGGCAGGCCCAACACCACAGCCAGTGACGGATCCGTCCTTGCAGAAAACCAACTTGTTTCTAAAATTGCATGCATGCATCTGAAGTAAAAACAAAAAAGAGGCGTAGAAAACCTTTAGCCTCTTCTGGAGTATATAGCATAATGACAATGCAAATATGTTATCCTTGTTTAGAGATTATTACCATAATATGGAGTGAGAGTGATAGTCAATAGAGCATCCGATCCCGAGCGCCTTTCACCGTGAAAATTTTATGCGTTAGCAACTACTTTGTGCATGGAGAGAAAAAAAAGAGAATAGTTGCAAACAATCATGTTTGAATCCGCAACCCAGAACTATTTCTTGCCCATGCAACCTAGCTCAGCCTAATCGATATCTAGTGGTAGTTTAGGGCTACTCTTTAATTACTTCATCCGTTTACCAACTTTCTTGCTTCATAATCTTAACTAATTGATCATTTTGATGTTTTTTTGGTCGATCCAATGATCCAAAAAAACCTTGCAACTGCACCTTATCACTACCTCCGAGAATGATGTGTTACTAGGTACACACATGCCCTTTATTTACTGGAATCGTCTGTCTATATTTAATATTAAAGACAAAGAATTTTTTAGTACACCTTTTTTTCACAATGCCACTAAGTCCTCCGTGTCCTATATCCTATGTGTAACATGAACTGATTGGTTGCCTGCATATCTCCTTATCCAGGGTATCGTAGTGCAAGGTCCAGTTATTTGGTTTCGTGCATATCTCCTTATGCATGATAGCACTCTCCTCAAAGCACCTCTTGCCTGCACAACCGGATGCGCTCAGAAATGGTCGTATCCACTGTGCATGCTTAGCTTGTGCGGTGCCTGCAGCTAAGGATGAAAACGGAACGAAATATCCCGAACCGAACCGTATCGTTTTTTTATATTTAATCCGATCGAATTCGCATTTTCTTGTCCGACTTTACCGTTTTCGCTTTCGCATTTCAGATGTTTCGTATTTCAAATGTAAAAGTAGAAAACGGTTTAGACACTTTTCCGACCGTTTTCTACTTTTCTACTTTTAATTTGAAATATTCCGAATTGAAAATTCGGTTTAAACCGAATTTGGCCAACTGCACAAGTCATACACCCAATTACAGGGTTGTTCACCACGCAATACTGTTCTTTTTCTCTTGGTGGCACCTGCCTCTCTTATAGACGGCGCCACCTCGTCTCTCTTCACCTCATGAGATGGTGCTAAATGTCGAAAAACGGCAAAGATCTACACGAAGCCCACAGGCCATAGCCCATCAAGCTCATCGGTTTAACCCCCACCTGCAAAGTCAATCATTTGATAGTTTTTGCATCAACCGAATAAATCTTTGTTACTCAAAAAAAAAATCTGAATAAATCTTTAAAATAAAATACTACATCTATTCTAAAAAGATTAATAAAATTATTCTGACTCAGTTTGAGTTCATGTTTCTATAATATGCACTTGTTAATTATTATATGCACTTGAACTTGATCATGTATGCACTTAGTCATGCACTTGGTCTACGGGTCGGTATTCCGTATTGAGTTTTCGTATACCGACCGTGTTCGATATAATTCCGCTCGAATTGTTTCGTTTTCGAAATTCTCGATATTCTGTAAGTTTGTGTTCGTTTTCGTGTTCGGTTTATCCGCTTTCATTTTCGTTTTCGTATTCAAATGTAAAAGTAGAAAACGGTTGAGGAGTTCTCCGTTCGATTCCGTCCGTTTTCATCCTTACCTGCAGCCGCTGTGCAGCTGTGCAAATCCACCTTTTGCCCCGACGCTCGTGGACGAGGCCGCGCGGGCGCGAGACAACGAGGCGGAGTTCAGGCGAGGTGGAGATGGAACGCGGTGGCGGCGGCAAGGCAGAGCTCCGACGCGACGGCGAGGCGGAAGCTTGGACGCGACGGCGAGGTGGAGGTGAAGCGCCGCCGCTACGGCAAGGCAGAGCGTGCGTCGCGCGGGCATGCCGCCATGCCGTGCTCTCGTCTCCGCCCAACACTGCATCCCCGAGCACAGCACTGAAGGAGGAGCGATGCAGCCACGGCGACCGGCGCAGGCGGAAGAAAGTGCGCGCGGCTTGGGATCCGTGGCGGCAAATGTTGGAACCTGCTGCCGAGACGGTCACCACTCACCATGACATCGAGCGCGCGGGAGGAACCCAACGGCGCCACGTCCTCCGCCACGGCAGGCACAGCGTGTCAGCCATCGCCACGTGAGGATAGTGCTAGGCTTCCTGCAGGATCCTGAGATGGACATGAACGAGAGGGCCAAGATCCATGAGGCTGTCAAGACAGGCCTCACCTCTTTGATTGCAGCCTCGCTGATTCAAATGGATGGTTGGAACATGGCAGATGAATGTGAGACCGAATAATTTTGGGTCAGGCGGCAGCATATTATGGTAGTGGTGGAGCAACGCGCATGGTGGAGCGACACACTGAAGACGTTCGATGAAATGTCTTTGCTGGTTTCGTATTATGCAGGCTACCATAATGCGAGTAATCAAACAGAACCAATAACTCATATGAGTTAGAACAACTAGCGTCGAAGGCTGATTTCATGAAGTGACGAAATGAAGTTCGACTCCAAGACATATTGGAATAGACCACATTTATTGAAAATCTCAGAGCTGTAATTATCTACGAGTAGATGACCATGCAACAAATTATAGGTCTCATTGCAACATATGGATATGTTCATTAGTTTTTTTTTCTCGATCACACAAAAGGTTCGGACGTCTTTGTATTAAGATATAGAAAAAGTTTAATACAATACGTTAATTAGTTTGATATAATAAAGAGAAATTTGAGCCCCTTATTTCAGGTGCAAATCGTCTCTTCTAACGATAATGGACCGGGGAATCTCCGACATGAAAGGACAGCACCGACACAGACGTCGGACGGGCACCACATTCGCCCTCGCCCTCCCTGCCTCCAACTCCGGCAGGAGATTAGAGTGCGAGAGTACGTACGTTGCCATGGCCACGCTTGCCGACTCTTCTCCGGCGCCGCACGTCCTGGTCGTCCCGTGCCCGGCGCAAGGCCACATGCTGGCGCTCCTCGACCTCACCGGCCTCCTCGCGTCCCGGGGCCTCCGCCTGACCGTCGTCGCCACACCCGCCACCGCGCCACAGCTCGCGCCGCTCCTGTCCGCGCGCTCACGCTCCCGTTCCCCTCCCACCACGCCCTGCCCGCGGGCGTCGAGAGCGCCAAGCATCTGCCCCCGGCGCTCATCGTCGCCTTCGCCGGCCTCCGCGGCCCGCTCCTCTCCTGGGCCCGAGCTCGTGCGGACGGCCCGGACCGCGTGGTCGCCGTGCTCTCCGACTTCTTCTGCGGCTGGACGCAACCGCTGGCTGCCAAGCTCGGCGTACCGCGGGTCGTGTTCTCGCCGTGCGCGGTGTGCGGCACCGCCGTGCTGCAGTCGCTCTTCCGCCGGATGCCCCGCCGCGAGTAGGAGCGCGACGACGACAGCCCCATCGCTTTCCCCGACCTCCCGGACGCCCCGGCATTCCCGTGGCGGCAGATGTGGCGCTGTACCGGACGTTCCGAGAGGGCGACGACGTCTCCGAGGGCCTCCGGCGGAACTACCTCTGGAACCTCGACAGCTCTGGCGGGTTCGTGCTCAACACGTTCCGCCGCCTCGAGGAGCGGTACCTGGAGGCGCCGCTGGCGGACATGGGCTTCCTCCGCGCGCGAGCGGTCGTCCCGCTGGCTCCCATGGCCGACGCCGCGGGCAACCGCGGCGGGGAGGCGGACGTGGCCGCGGCCGACCTGTGCGCGTGGCTCGACGGCTTTGACGACGCCTCCGTCGTGTACGTCTGTTTCGGGAGCATGGCGGTGCTGCAGGAGCCTCACGCGGCGGCCATGGCCGTGGCACTGGACCGGACGCGGGTGGCGTTCGTGTGGGCGGCCGGCCCCACGGCGCCGCTGCCGGACGGGTTCGAGGAGCGCGTGGCGGCGGCGGGAGGCAGGGGCACGGTGGTGCGCGGGTGGGCGCCGCAGGTGGCCGCGCTGCGCCACCGCGCGGTGGGGTGGTTCGTCACGCACTGCGGCTGGAACTCCGTGCTCGAGGCCACGGACGCGGGGGTGGCTATGCTGGCGTGGCCGATGACGGCCGACCAGTTCGTGAACGCGCGGCTGCTCGTGGACGAGCTCCGCGCGGCCATGCCCGTGAGCTGGGCCGGGCACAAGGAGGCGCCCGGCGCGGACGAGGTCGCGCGGGTGCTCGACGACGCGGTGAATGGCCGGCGGTGGGCTGAGGTGGCCAGTCGGGTGAAGGAGCTCGCGGACGAGGCGGCGGCGGCGGCCCTGCGCCCAGGTGGCAACTCGTGGCGCGAGCTGGCGCGGGAGCTGCGCGAGCTCGGCTGCGAGCCAAGGCAGCGCACGTAGATGGCTTTGCCTTGGTCTCAGCTCCACTCGTAATTCGTGTAAGCTAAGCTCACGTGTTGCAATAAGCTCACTGAAGCCATATTCATATTCTAGTCTCAATTCTCCAGATCAACTTTGGACGATTGTAAGACATGACATGCTCGAATATGAACTAAACAATATCCACCAGGCATAAGCTAGACTGTATTTTCTTTTGACAGAGAAACCAACCTGCTTGTAGAAGACACATCTTAATAAAACTGACTATAGAATTTGTAACCTTCAGCATTTCAGTATTAGCAAGACTGAATATGGCCAATATTCTGCTGTCAGGAATCCGAGACATACTAGTCTCATCTCTAAACAAACAACAAACAAATGGAGCTATCTCAACTGTCAAGCACCCATTCTGACGTATCATATCATGTATGCTACTAGACAAAGAAACCTCAATAGTCCAATACCATTCTTCACATCATTCAAGCACAAAAACGTGGCTTCAATCCAAATGCAAAGAAGTACGTAATAAGTAAGCAGCAGGCAATCTCTCTATGCAATGCAGATCAATATATTGGGCTCCGGTCTGTGTAGTTAAGGCCCGGGAGGCCGGGACAGCAACATTGCCTTTGCCTCCAACTCCAGATACAAACTCCACTTGCCACTCCAAATAGGCACCAAGTGGCAATGGCCCAGCATATAATGATATAACGCTGCTTCTTCCCTGAAGTTCATCACAAGAAATGGAAGTACTCGATGCACCTGGACTGACCGATTGGTAGCAGCGTCCTCGACAGAGCGCTGGTGCTGCTGGACGAGGGGCTTGGCTGCGCAGAGTCATCAACCTCCATCTTAGCAGGACCGTTGCTTCCGTGAGATGGTACGCCGCCTGTCCACTGGAGTTGCTGGTATGTGTAGGCGCTCCTGTCAGGCTGTTGGTTGGCGCTGTAAGAGTGCATGATTGGTGATCGTGGCGTTGCCGGGGATGTCAGGAATGAGGGCTGTTCGGAGGCAGCGTGCGGGCTGAAGCAGATTGACACCGCCTTCTTCGAAGATGACTGCGACGCGATGTCTCTAGCACTTCCTACGGCGCTTGAGCTGGTGCTGCAGGTGTGATGGTTGAAGTAAGTGACAGAGAACAATGGTGGGTCGCTGGTGTCCTTCTGTTGGACTTGCTTTGTCGCGGGGCACTTCATGTCGTTCTTGTAGGTGCATCTGTAATAGAACCTGAAAATAGGATGACATGTACCAAAAATTCACTCCAAAGGGAAGAGAAGAATTATTTGCCAAAATGCTGAATACAGTGTAAATACTTTAACCGAAAAGTTCAGAATAGTCGTGTGTCAGAGAATACTCTGTTCCATCCTTTTTAACGTTTTGAGATCAGTATTTGCATGTCTTCCACTAATAATATAACAAGAGCACACCACAAAGTCACAGGAAAGGGACTTTGAGTTGAGCTGCTTAGCGTCAAAACGAAATTTCTCAGATTTTCGCTAATTCTCTATTAGAGCGGTTGGAACTTAGTTAGACCACCGACAGTTAGTGAGTAAAACACACGGTCCTCTTAAATTTCCTCTCAGAAGGTTGAATAACACCTTTTTAAAGATTTCTACCAACTTGTCTTATTCTTCTTTACAATTCTGGAAGGACTCTGCAATAACATCCATATGTCAAAGGTCTATTCCCCTTTAACTCAGTAAGTGGGTGAGTATTTTGGAAAATAAAGATGCATCATGTCGAAGGGCGGGCCTGATGCAAGCGGTAGAGTCTTACCGCCTGTGACCGGAAGGTCCCAGGTTCGAGTCACAGTCTCCTCGCATTGCACAGGCGAGGGTAAGGCTTGCCACTGACACCCTTCCCCAGACCCCGTACAGAGCGGGAGCTCTCTGCACTGGGTATGCCCCTTTTTAAAGATGCATCATGTCCTTCCCCCTCCTCTGTCAACATTCAGTCTACCTAAATTAGGTGGAACACCATCTACAAACACTTTTAAGGCCTCTTCATCTACTGCGTCCACTGCCTTTTAGAAAATAAACATTAGCTCCCCATCAATTAACATGCTCTTGATGGGCTAACAATATATATGGGGGTCTGCATCTCATTCCAATCGCTCTCTAGAAAAGCAGAAAAAGGACTGCCAGAGACTGTCGGCATGGATACTACTAACAGCTGAAGACTTGAGTTGGACAACATGCACGGTAAACAAATGAGGCAACTTTCAGTATGCTAGTGAAGCATTAGATCTCAAACTGAGTTGCAAATGATAGGTACTAAAGATGGCCAACTTGTGAACTGTATATTCACATATAAGAAGTGTTAAGAGGAAGTCTGAAGTAACACTTTAAGAGTTCTTTATGTGCCTAGTTGAGTTGTCAGTTAGGAAAGAGATTTCCACTTTGAATGTTCTTTTCCAGTAGTCACGACATAAAAGACTTCTATTTCACTTGCATTTGTTTTTATTTCAATCACTCAAGGGTACAGCGACACCTGTCCACCGACAATTCTACCAGAGAGTGACTAGTAGACAATCACACAATTTGATGTCCGTCCCCCCTGATATTCAAAACGTTAGGCGCACTAAACGGCAATGTGATTTGGGGTGGAAAATAAAAAGTCTTTGGACCACAAACTGAACATGCAAAGACTATATATTGACCAGAAGCAAGAGATTTGTTTCTTTTTGCGGACAGCGAATAGTAGCAACATTAGATTGAATTTAGATATGTGGAAATTGGAGCTTAGATGAACATGTCTGCAACTGGTACCCACTGTCAGTTTCAGATTTGTTCTCCACTCACTCAGACCACTGAACCGCCTATGGTATTCCAAACTCCAAAGCGAGCAGGGATTTTGGTGAATTGCAATTTTCTTAAGCTAGCAGTCTAGCACAAGACAAGATGAACGAGAGATGTACGATACACAACAAGCATATAATAATCTTCTTCCATGTGCCATCAGGAGGTAAACAGCCCATACTGAAAAGGTCAAGATGTGTGCCCTGCCCACAAAACTACTGCACCGGCAAACACGCTTCATTTAAGATGAAAATTATACTAGCACTAGACTAGAGATAGGAAGTATGCACAGTTCTTTCAGTTCATCTTTACTTATACTACTGGAAGCCAGGATAGCATATATAAAGATACTAAAAATGAGGAATTATTGCAGTCAAAACAAGGCAATAACTTGTTCTTAAATAAATTCTGAAGAGTTGAGGTAACTACCCCCGGTGGAACCAGGAACAGGTCCCACGAACACACTCCAGATCTGGTAAGAGCTAATAAATTGACCGTCTGCGATACATAACTGAAACAAAAGACGCTTATTTGGGGAACAAAAACTGCAGGGCAAAGGGCTATGAAAAATGAACGGAACGAACCTGGGGAAGTTGGAGATGGAGAGCTTCTTCTCGCCGTACTTCCTCCATTGGTGCCCGTCGTCGTACGGCGCGTACGTGTCCGAGGTCCAGGTGCGCTCATCTTTCCTGGCGAATTACAGAACAGGCGCATACCGTCAGACTGCGCAAATTTCGCGGCGGGGGGCAAGGAGGAATCGATCGAGAACGACGCGTACCTGATCCTCTGCTGGGTCCTGGATGCGGCGGCCCTGCTGGAGGAGCCCAGGTCGCAGGGGTAAGGAGGAACCGAGTCCAGAGCCATGGCGAGGGGGACGTCGGAGGCGAGAGGGGAGACCGGAGGAGGCGTTTCTTGCGGGAGCTCGGCTCGGCGGCCTGGATGTTGTTGGTGTTGGAGACGACGGTTCTGACAACCTTTATTTATAGGCATTAAACAACGACGGTGCAGGAGCAGGAGCATTCTTCAACGTTAACACGCGTCGCTTAACGCCGCTTCCACTCCTCGTCTTCATCAATTTATTTTCCTTTTTTTTCTCTTCCAAAATACTAATACCCTTTCTGCAGCCCTGAAATAAAAAATAATGGCCAGGAGCTATATACACTGTATCTTTTCAACAATAGACATCAAAGCTTATAAAAAACAATAGACAGCAAAGTTTTTTTAATACAAAAGATATGTTTTTTAATAATACAAAAGAAGAAGCAAACCCCTCTCTTTCTAATAAAACAATGAAAAACGAACCACACGTACAAACCAGAGACAGAGCAGCAAAATTGTCCAAGGATTGAGAGCGAGAATACTATGTGAAATTTCCGGAATAATAAAACTTCTGATGTGTGTCTACCTTGTTATTTTCAATTTTCTATATCTCCAGATCATGTCATTACAGTAGTTTCAGGACTAGTTTTAGTAGCTGTAATGAGTAACGGAGAGAGGTGACGGAGTGAGGCTGCTGGCATCAAAGAGCCGGCCACATCTGAATGACTGTTATTAAAAAAGAAATCAAATCTGAAGGACTGAAGGCCATTAACAATACCAATCCATGTGCAGGAGGACAGCTAGCTCTGCATTTCTTTACGTTTCTGAAGACTCTCAGCTTGGTCTTACATTACTTGTTAAATACTTAAAAAATAAATAAAAGGCAGGCACAGCCTCACTACAAAATCTTGGGTTTGGTGGATGAATCCCCCCACCGCCACAGGCTAGCATAATAAATAAATAAATAAGGAGCTTATAGATATATAATATAGTGCATCGATATGAACAAACTTTCACCAAGTAGTCTTTTTCAAAGCAAGTCCCAAGAGAGAAGCCCAAAAAGAAAGAAAAAATATATAATCCTGTCGACGGCTCCTCATTGAGCTGTATTATTAGTTACCATAATGCTAATATAATGACCTTATGGGCAAAAGACAAATGCTCTTGCTAGGAACAGTTGAAAATGACATGGTTTAAATATGTCTTTCCTGCTTTTGCATAATGATGATAAAATTGAAAGCACTTAACTAGTTGCAAGGTGCTTTCTACACTCTTCTGAAGACCAGATACACAATTCCTAAAGGCTAAAGCAAAACAGCAGTAGTAGTGGAGCAGTGTGTGTGTGTGTTTCACTTCTCCATATTGGGGATAAATCCACAAAATTCATTTTATTTGTAGCTTGTAATTCGTTTTTTTATTAATTATAACTGTCGCTTGTTCATGAGCAAATAATCCCCATCTGAACAAGACATTGGCAACAAAATTAGTGATATTCTAACCAAAAAAAGACGGCTGCTTAGGTTCTATGGTTTTTATGGGATTAAAAAGTTAAACATCATTCTTCTAAATTAAAACATGGATAAAATCTCTGATAACATTCTGAGCTAAAAGCTAAATACTACGCTACCAATGAGCAGAGATCAATGGAAACAGCTTGTCCTTTTAATAGCATTGCATGATACTAATATTTTAGCCATTGAGGTCGTGGCTATCGAAGTAGCCGCGTCATCTCGCGCATTATTTTGTTGCGTAATTAGGAGAGGTAGTGGACTTTCTGGTGACAGATTCAAGCAGTCAAGCTTAGTTTATTTGCTTCATAAACACATCCACGTACAAACAAACAGCTCATCACACAACCATTCTTTATTTTTTTTATGTGGAATGAAGAAGACGGTTGCTTTATTCAATTACCAAACTGTTGCAAAATGAAGTTATATTTGTAGTGCAGTAGTACCTAGTCCGAATCAAGATTGAGGGGAGGTCCAAATACCCATCCATGTTTCAAATACTCCATTGTCTTCAGAAAACACATACATAGTACTTTGTCAGTTCCAAAGAATGTCCACCCTCCCTAAGAAAATTCCCGAAGTATGAGTGGTTTCATCTCAAGTGAAGAATACTTGGAAGGGGAGAGGACAGAGAACAATAGGGATATAATTCTCTACTCTACAAAATACCCATAATTTGCATCTAAATTTGTTATCTGCATCCAAATTTACAAAAAAAGTGACAAATACTGGATACGTAAACAGACAGACCATTTACACAAGCACTGTAACACTTAAGCCATCTTTCAGAAATGTGTACTTACTACGGACTAATGAACAGCAAAACTAACTTGATCTACAATGGCTTCTAATTTTTATTATTTCTTGAGCACACCCAGGTGATGGGTCATAAACAATGGGGCAGATGCAGTGGAACTTGTGAGCAGCAGCTTTCAATTGAATAATCAGCAGAGACAACCAATAGTTGATCCGCTATCTAGAAAGTGGACGCTGATACAAGGTGCTTCCATGTGCTGTTGCGCTGTTTTCGTGCAAATCGCTCCATCTTAATCGATCCGCGTGAGAATCTCTCTAATTATATTGTCAACAGTTTTCTGTAGTTAATAACTCGTATGGTGGGAGCGCGGTGGGATGTTTCCTGGAAGATATGCTATGATCTCTTCAGTTCAGGGGGACTTGAGATAGAAATTGAACAGAGCTGTCGTCTTCTGACAGCTGATCTGTGTTGCATGCTAAGCTTATCTTTCTTCCATGCTGTAAAAGTTAGAATAATATAAATACATAGTTGAGAAGATATTATTATTCCTCTTGGACCCAACTAAATCGGTTCCTTCCCCGGTAAAATACTATATCATCAGAGATCAATTCTTTATCGATTTTAATCCTACTGTCTGTCCAATGTAAATTTCGTTTTTTTAGAAAACAATCTTAAATTTACTAATTCCATATGATAGACAATTAATACTCGTGATATGTAGTTAATAATTGGATTAATCATAAGATATATTTTTATAATAAATTTATTTGAAGATATAGACATCAATACTGTTTTATATGAATCTAGTTAAACTTGAGAATGTAACACCTAGAAATTTACAGACGTTCTCTTGAATCAGCGCAAGAAAAGTGAGATTTACGGGGTTTTTTTTTGGGACATAGAGTATTTCTTTACAGAAGGTCTCTTCGGCTCAAGAAAAGAATTGTTCTCAAAGACCATAAAACGCAGCAAGCACTCAAGTAATATTTATTTGATAATAATGCCACCACCCCATGTGTAGGAATCAAGTATATAGTTGCTCTGGGGAGAAAAGAAAAATCGAAATGAGATGTTGAGTTGGTTTAGGATTCCTATAGTTAATTAGTTCATGCATCAGCTAGCTACTAGTAGTGTCATCTTCTTGTAAAGCAAGAGGAAGCTGCTTAGAGACACGGCAATCTTCACAAAAGTTAGTCTCTGCTGCTACTCTGCTAGTATTATAATATACTGCAGCCCAGCAATATTCATATTTATATCTGCAGGCTTGTGGCTGCAACGTATGGGGAGAGTAGAAAATCACATACCTATTGACTTCCGTGTCCTCGGTGAGAGGGAGATATATAGGTACGCGTGTCAGGGTCAGGACATGTCTTGTTTGGCACAGAGCTTAAAATTCTCATAAAATCTTTTCATATCCAAATTCTCCTTGAAACGTTTCTCAGGTGATGCATGGTTATTCGCCATCATCAGTTTCTCAAAAAAGGTTTGGTAGGGATTTTGGATTTGGATTGTGAAGAAAAATAAGAAGAGGCTGAATTAGAACAGGTGAGACCACTGCTACAGAATTGGACATCGGCCTCATCACTGTCGGATTTTAAGAAACCGACAGTGATAGTGCATGATTGGTTGGCGCTCCTGTCAGGCTGTTGGTTGGCGCTGTAAGAGTGCATGATTGGTGATCGTGGCGTTGCCGGGGATGTCAGGAATGAGGGCTGTTCGGAGGCAGCGTGCGGGCTGAAGCAGATTGACACCGCCTTCTTCGAAGATGACTGCGACGCGATGTCTCTAGCACTTCCTACGGCGCTTGAGCTGGTGCTGCAGGTGTGATGGTTGAAGTAAGTGACAGAGAACAATGGTGGGTCGCTGGTGTCCTTCTGTTGGACTTGCTTTGTCGCGGGGCACTTCATGTCGTTCTTGTAGGTGCATCTGTAATAGAACCTGAAAATAGGATGACATGTACCAAAAAATTCACTCCAAATGGAAGAGAAGAATTATTTGCCAAAATGCTGAATACAGTGTAAATACTTTAACCGAAAAGTTCAGAATAGTCGTGTGTCAGAGAATACTCTGTTCCATCCTTTTTAACGTTTTGAGATCAGTACTTGCATGTCTTCCACTAATAATATAACAAGAGCACACCACAAAGTCACAGGAAAGGGACTTTGAGTTGAGCTGCTTAGCGTCAAAACGAAATTTCTCAGATTTTCGCTAATTCTCTATTAGAGCGGTTGGAACTTAGTTAGACCACCGACAGTTAGTGAGTAAAACACACGGTCCTCTTAAATTTCCTCTCAGAAGGTTGAATAACACCTTTTTAAAGATTTCTTTAGACTTTAGTGTACCAACTTGCCTTATTCTTCTTTACAATTCTGGAAGGACTCTGCAATAACATCCATATGTCAAAGGTTTATTTCCCTTTAACTCAGTAAGTGGGTGAGTATTTTGGAAAATAAAGATGCATCATGTTGAAGGGCGGGCCTGGTGCAAGCGGTAGAGTCTTACCGCATATGGCCGGAAGGTCCCGGGTTCGAGTCGCAGTCTCCTCGCATTGCACAGGCGAGGGTAAGGCTTGTCACTGATACCCTTCCCCAGACCCCGCACAGTGCGGGAGCTCTCTGCACTGGGTACGCCCCTTTTTAAAGATGCATCATGTCCTTCCCCCTCCTCTGTCAACATTCAGTCTACCTAAATTAGGTGGAACACCATCTACAAACACTTTTAAGAGAGTTGCATATGAAAATAGGTTTTATTTTCAAAGATGTGTTTTGTCCACTAGACCT